AGACAATGAAACATGTTTTGAAAAATGGTATATTTATTATCAATATACTAGGGATACTCGAGTGTTAAATTATTAAGATTATTAGTGACAGTCATACCGTTCTTATATATTTGACTCTTGAAGTTTGGTTGGTTGGTTGTTAGTGATTCCGGATGCGTCAACTGCCGAGGTCATTAGTCCCGTAAGTGCACTACATGTTTTCTCCACGGGAGGTGGAGGTCATCTTCCCCCGCTAGGTGCCGAGGTCCGGCGTCGATCTACTGTCGGCTAGCAGGTTTTTCCCCAGCCAGGTTTCTCCCGCCAGCAGGACACCATCTCAGCCGAAACACATTCTGAGCTCCGTGTGGCCTCCTGGCATATGTGGTAGAACGTAAGTGTGTTTGCAAGAAAGGGATGAGGATATGAGAAGGAAGAGGAAGGAAAGATCGCGTGAAAACCGTGACTCATTTGTTGGGTAACTGCTCAGGCATTCTCCTAGTGTTGATCGGGTAACCCACGGAAAACTATCGATCAGGTCAGCCGGCCTTTAGAATTCTCCTCCAGACAGCGTCAGTCGCTAGCTGACAAGCTAGTGTCGAAAATCTTGCCACTGACGGGACTGGAATCTAGGACCTCCCGGTCAGACGCACTCCAGTGACATCGATTGATGCACTGAGATACCTCTCCCGCTCAATTTAAGTTAAATTTTAACTTATTTGTAAGCAGTATGTCTGCTATTTTTTGGAAAATCATTTTGTGTAGTTATGTTCTGCGACAGTTTTGCTGCTGCAGGACACTAGAATATAAAATACACTTGGTTGTTTCTAAGTAATAATAAACATTAGTATTAGTATTATTATTCAGGGCAATGTTTTTGAGTTGCAAGACACACATAAATTCAGCTTATTAAATATTAAGTGAAATATTTGCTTGTGTCCGTATGACCGGGATCGAAACATGACCTCCCAACTGCAAAGTCAGCGCGCTCCGCACTGAGCCGCTTCGCTCGGTTTAATATTATTATTATTATTATTATTATTAATACCCTCCACTTCTTAAAAAATGTCGGGGCATTCCTGCTCAAGACAAAAATATGGAGTTGTTACCATGAGTTCCTCATACAGAGTTCTAAACGTTTGGGTAGTTATTCATTAATGACGTTTTTGGTTGTCTTTGCTTCCTTGTACCTTCATACACCTCATTTAAGGCACAAAACATTTCTGGTGATGTTTGCGTACCTAATAAAACGGTCTTTTTCGTATCGAGATATTTTTCTAGTAGGCCCAGAGTTTTCCACTTCTGTCAATCCTTCGTAACTACACCTTTCGCCCATACTATCACGAGTACTATCTCCACTTTCTGCCATGTGTACATAATCTTCAACTCAACATCTAGTGGCTAGTATATTCGTTTCTTCTCAGCAACAGTTGACACGAGGTTGTCGTCTGTAGGAACTGCAACATCACTAATCGGAGCTGTTCTGGCTATTTTACCAAATAAAATTATGTGTGGTCTGTTTTCTTCAACAGTACTGCCAGGTATAAGTTTTGCTGTCTACGGCTAGTTTTCGCGCTAGATTATTACTGATTACTTTCTCAGACTTAGACTTATAATATGGCTCTTCTTGTTCTACTAGTTGACATTTCTTTGCAAGTGCCTGATGAATTACGAGTACTTTGGCTACATTATTATGTGGCTGCAAGTATTCAGCTTTTGCAGGTGATGGACATCCATCGCATATATGTTGGATAGATTCTTTGGTAGTTTTGGCATTTGCTATCAATCTTTTGGCCCATAACATATTTTTAATAGGCTTTGGTTTTAATAACTTGATCTTGAATAGAGAAGAGGAATCCCTCTTTTTCACCATAAAGACCCACGGTTCTCATCCATTAAGTAAACCATTTCAGATCCACATCTTCAGAACTCAACATCTGCTAACATCCTGCTATGCAGTTTGTCTTCAAAGCATTAATTCTATCTTGAGCTGTCAAGTATAGGAAAACTCTGTTCTCTTGAGCTAGACGTAATGGGCTGATATTTTTATCTTGTGAGCAAATTGCTTTATGAGTATCAACTCATAAAGAGAAAATAATGTCACAATTTCTCTTCCTGCTGACCACATAGTGGTTCCAATTTCAATAGTCCTCTGCCTGAATTTTTTTGAGATAAAATCACTGTAAAGGAGAACGGGAATTCAGCGTTGCGGGCTCCTGATGTTCGCGGATGACTTTGCGTATTACGCGAAATCGGCGAACAGCAGGCAAGCAGTGAGATACCTGAATTAATGCCTCGCCGCCTTTCTCACCTGGCTACGCCAGAAACGCTTGACCCTAAACCTTGAAAAATGCGTGGCCGTTAACTTCACCCGTCAGAGGGCAGACCCCGAGGAAACGGTGTTGCTTGCGGGCGCGCATCTTCCTTGGTCACCATGCGCGAGTTACCGTGGCGTGACACTAGATCGTGGCCTCTATTGGCACGAGCACGCCAAGGACCTTCGCCACAAAATTCTTGCCAGGACCTCCCTCCTACGTCCCCTCCTTGGCTCCCCGGACCTATCTCTCTCGCAGAAGCGTCTCCTTTTCACCGCCTGCATACGAAGTTTATGGACATATGCTTGCGAAACTTTTGCGGCAGCGCCGGTCTCGACCCTACGCCCGATTTGGGCGGCCGAGAACCGAGCGGTGAGAACCGCCACGCGGCCGCATCTCCCTCCTCCTAACCGCCACCATAGGAACAGTGTAACTTACGGGGCCTTGGGCGTGAGTCGTCAGCTGCCGGAGGAGATCCGCAGGAGGGCACACACGGCACTCACGCGGGCGCTGGGCCCGAAAGCTCCGCGGCTCTTGCGCGAAACCGGCCGGGCAGCGAACTGTGAGGTCCACCGGACGTATTTTGTGCCGAGAGGGCCCAAGCAAGTGGCCTCCACGTTCCGGGCGCTACCGCCGCAGCTTCTCGCAGAGCTCTGCGAGCAGCGGCGTGAGGCTCCCAGCGGGACGAGTGAGGCCCCGCCCGTAACAACTGCCAGGGCACATTGTGCCTAGCCGCCACGAACGCTTGGAGCAAAGTCGGCGCCGTGGCGCACATAGTGTAAATACTGTTTAGGATGTATATAGTGTTGTGTGAAAGTGCGTGTGTCAAGTGAACATATAATCTAGTGTGAATGTGCGTGTGAATGAAAAAAAAAATACCCAAGAAAACTAAAACTAATATGCCTGAAGAAGAATACAGTCTTGTGTTAATCTTAGGTTGCCGGCCAAAGTGCCGGCTTCATCCATAGGTCAAGTTAGAAATAAGTTAGTAAGTAAGTTCTGCCCCCTTCTTTGCCGCATAAGCCGTAGAGCTGCGGCATATGTTGTACCCCAACAAGAAAATAAACTCCCGCCTCGCCAGGGTTACTGACGGGGGGAAAGTTGAAAAAAGGTCTCAGAGTCACTGGGATACTCAAGCTCCACCACCAACGTCAAGGTCATCTTCTCCCTCGGCGGAGTAATTATTATTATTATTATTATTATTATTATTATTATTATTATTATTATTATTATTATTGTAATTATTATCATTACTATTTTTATTACGTTTATTTTCGTTCAGTGCATTTTTTTTGGGTCAACTGAGGAACTACAAGAATAAATTACTACTAATTTTGAAAGATTTTTTTTACCTAGTATGAATATGTTCTTTTGTTTTGTTTATCTTTCCATAACTTAATGGAAAACTTATATTTTATAATAAATATGAATAGTTTTTATTATTGTTATTATTAAAAGAAGTAATTAATTAATTTAATATTTGTCTTTGCAGATTCCGAAGTGTTGAAGATTATGAGAAATTTGAAAGTATTATTGTTGATTTTTGTTGCATTTTTTGGTGGTGTTTACGTAATACTACTGAATCGGTCGAATTTAAATTTTGCATCATCGGGGGAAAATGCTAAAAATATAATTACCAAAAACTATCATAAATATATCAAGACCAGCATTACGGAAAATATCACGAATGCTCCTAATATCAGCTGTCTCTCTGGTATTGTGTTCTCACGAACAAGTGATGGAAGACTTGGAAATAATTTGATGGAGTACGCATCGGCCTGGTCCCTCGCAAAGTTATATAACTTAACGCTAGTTGTGAGCGACGATATTTATAATCATATTAAACCTTTATTTTCTAAACTCTCTGCCTCAACTGCATCCAGATTCCTTAGTGATCTGCGGAAGAGAGACCCTGACTGTGCACAGCTAGCTGAGAGGACGCTTCTCCATGGAAAGCATACGAAATTGGTTGGTCCTTTGGAAGACCAAATTATGAAGATCAAATACAAAGAACCCGTCGTTATGAGGTTAGTAGTACTAGGATTTTTTTATTTCAAGAGAAAATTTGGAGCCGTTTTGAGAAAATATAGTTTACGTATTTTTCTTTCAAATTGTTCCTGTTCCAAATAAAATTAGAGTAAAAATACTCGTATTGTCAGCACAATGACCCTGACATTAATTAAAGATCAAACTTTGAATAACACATTTGATTCAGGAAATATATCTTTAATAATGTAGTTTGTTGTATGAGTGGGAGCCAAAAATATAACCTTTCGCACATTTCGAAATCTCAGAGGTTTTAATACTAATGGGACTTATGATATAAGATTACTCATTTCCAATTTAGCAAACATTTTTAATAAAAAATTTGAAGCCATGAAACAAAAATGAAAGCGACCACGGGTTCAATAATTTTAAAATTTGTAGCGCCCCTAGTGGGTTTAGATCGATATGGAAATTATTTATATTGGGAAAAATTCTATTAAAGGTTTAACTGCTTGTATTGTTCTCTGACATCACATTATTACACCCTCGTATCAAAATTTCAAGTTTAGAGGAAATTTATAATGCTGTGGAAAATGTATATCGAACTTTTAACGGAAATACACTTTTGGGATGTTATCTGATACCGACAAAGTGAAGTTTTGAAGTCCGTTTTTAGAAGATTTAGATAATAGACATGTACTGTTTCAAGCTGCTTTAGAAGAGATGGTTGCGTAAGATAGCTGAAAAATGAGAAGAATTGTAATACAATTATGTTGTTCTTCTCATGTAATAAATATGAGGAGCAATTAATCAAAACGCATATTTTCTACAGGCCGAATATTTGAGTTTGATTTGAAATCGTGTAGTTTTTAATAAGTTCTACACGTTCCTGCTTTCAGATTTCTTCAAAATGCATTTAATTTAATGTGATAAAATGGTTTTTTAAGAAATCTGAAAAGAGGAACGTGTAGAACGTAAAAAAACTACACACTTCTTTCAAACTCAGTTGTTTCCACCCGTGGATAGTTAGTTTTGATTAGTTGATCCACATATATTGCAGAGAATCGTGCAGAGTAAGTTTCGACCTCTTATTTGTCCCGCTTTCCGCATCTTCAGTGCGTCTCTAGCAAGGAGAAGAAAATTGAAAAATTAACATAGGGACAAAAACAAATTCAGCAAACTTTTGAGAAAAAAATACCAAATAATACGAAATAAATAATAAATAAAACTAAAAATACTTACTGCCCAAGCAACGTGAATCACTTACAAATGTTCACAACGTGGTCGGAAAAAATACGAAAACTTAAACACATGCTGGGTACGGCTAGGTGGCAGCCATCATTTGGAATGTAGAGAAGAGAAGATAAGACTTATTATGTATTTTTGTAGTTTTTTTCACTTTTCATATTACAAAAAGTACGTACATTTGTAAGTAATTACATTTAATAGAGATTTTGAAGAAAACAATTTGAGACCCTGAGGAAAGCTTAACATCAATATCTAATAGTAATGTACTGTAAAATAAAATGAAAGAAAAATAGAGTGTTTAATTAAAATTTTAACCAATTACATTAAAAATAATAATCTTAAACACCGTAGTTTATATAAATTTATAGTTTTTCTTTTTTTAACAAGGATAGCAGATGAAGAAAGTCCGGTCAACGCCGGGTATTTTGCTAGTAACCCTCACCAAAAAGGTAAATTCAGGCAGTTGTTTCCCGTCACGCGAAATCCTTGACATCTAACAGCTCAATTTGATTGATTGATTGATTGATTTGTGATTCTGGGCGCGTCAACTGCTGTGGTTGTTAGTCCCATTAGTGTAGTGGATGTTTTATTCCAAGAGGTGGTGGTGTTTTTGCCACTAAATAATATCATGCGCCGACCTCACGTCTTGCGAAAGATTTCCTCCTTCAAGTATTTCCTCCCATGGGGCACAGCCCCAAATGATCCAAGCTCTAAACTACCGATTTGTGTGTGTTTCAAGCCCTAGGACCTCCCGGTCAGAGACATGGAGGAACTGACGGTCGGACAGATAGACACACGGACGGGCGGTCATACGAACAGACAGACGGACGGATGGACATCATCCAGGCAGACAGACTGAAGGACGCACGTTCGTTTTGAAGAGAACTCTATTTTTATATCACGGCACCCACAATATATGTCTCCGTTAAAGTTTCGAAATCAATTTTCCCCAGCATTACATAAATCTCCCTATACTTTGTATATATTCTATATTTCAAAAGCATGAACGAATACGAAAAATTAAAAAAATAATTTTATTTATTTAAAAACAAATACGTCATGTTAATAAGGAATGTTTTAAACGTGGTCACTAAAAATACATATCTAAACAAAATTAAGATATTTTCGGGTGAAAAAAATTATTCAGTATTATAAAAGAATACAATTATCTTTGAGAAGTTAAAAAAATCATTAAAAAAGGGAAAATGCGAGAAACGCCATATTTACTTTCTTGCAATAATTTCTTTACTTCATGTGTTTCCCAATTTTAGACATTTTTTATTATTTCAGGAAATACATCGTCCTCGCAAAAGCAATTGCTCCCATGCAGAGCAAAATGAAGGAAGAATTTACGTACCAGCCTCAGTATCTTTCTTATGCGGAGAAGACATTACGGGAATCAGTCAAAGGTCTTCACAACTCTACATTTGGCGAAGAGGTATCTTCTTTATTATACAAATTATCTTTTTAACATGCCCTGGGCGAAAAGCGGTGTTTAGTGCTTGTTTTGTGTGTGCGAAACAGCTATTTTTTTCACAGTGTGCGAAACATCTCGAAGCGTGTGCGAAACATGTGTGTTGCGTGTTGGCAATTGTTTTAAATTTTAATTCCTATTTACGTTTAATTTCTTCTTTCTTAACTTTATGGATTAAAGTCAGACCGCAACTTTGTCACCAGTGATCCTCTTCCATTAGTGTCAATTTTCTCTCTCTTTTTTGTTAATTCCCATATCTCAGACCCATTTACTACAACTGTCTTACACAATTTTTTCTTTTTATTCTTACCTTTCCATATTAGTGAATGTAATTGTCTTATAACAACTCTGCCTTTTGCCTTTTCTAATATCTTAAGTAATGCCTCCATTTGCATTTATTTTTGTACCGAGGTATGTGAATTTTTGACAGGGTATTACTTTTTCTTGTACAACCATATAGTCAGTCTTGTTAAGGTTTATTTGTCATCCCTATTTCGAGTACTCCTCATATAATTTGCGCAGCACATATAGAGCATAGCCATCATCTTCAGCGAACACCACCTGATGATCTTCGAAGTGTGAAGAGAATAACATAGTCACCAATTTTACTACCAATATTACTACATTTCTTCCTAAATATCAGGGCTTCATTCAAATATATTTTAAACAAAGTCGGAGCTAAACAGCATCCCTGTAAACATTTATTAATTGAAAAAGATGCTGAAATAGTCGAAGAAAAGTTGGGAGAGCATTTTTGATGGAAATGGTAATGGAACATCGCCTCTTCTATCACAGTAGTTTTTGTCAGACAAGAGTGTTCTGGAAAAGTGATGACACACAATTGACAAGGATTGTTACTTGGAGAAAGAATTAACGAGTATTGAAGAAGTTGTCACAGTTACCTCTGTCCAAACGAAAACTGACCCTTTCCTTACGAAATCCGTGGTCTTTAGCTACGTGTTTCTACTACATCTAGTGCCTGGCACACTCTGGGTCAAACCTTGAAGACGTTCAAAATGCTTTTACTCAGCTTTTCGCATTAGCTTGTCGTAACAAGGCGAGCCGGCGTCTGCCATAGAAATCCAGCCTGGATTTTTAGCTATCCAGGAGCTGGTGCGCTCTTTCGGTGGCGCTCCGAACTAATAGAAAGAAGTTTGTAATCGACTACAAGGACTTTGCATGAAGAAATGAATGTTTGGTCGGCAGAAGAGAAATTCGCGCGGCTTTTTGTAGAAAATTAAGAGGCGCCAAGTTTAAAATGTATAATCTTTTCCTTTGAAACGCCTTCAAAGAACATCAAACGCCCTGTTAAAGAAGACAAGGCGCCAAATTCGAAGTAATTTGGCCGGCAATGTGTCAACAGTTTCTGCCTATTTTTATTTTGGTCGTATTATTACTGTACAAACATTTAACGGCTCTAATAAATTGTAAATTTACATTTTGTTTCCCCATTGCCATCCACTATCTAGATAATGGAACAATCATAGGCCTTACATAGCACAATTAACACAAGGTCTGTCTCCAAGTTATGGGCTAGATGTTTGTTGGTTATCTGTCTAATATTAAAGACGTTATCAATACACGAGCGCCCCGCTCGAAAGCCTCTTTGTTCTTCGACAGCAATGAGGTCTCTTTCAGTCGAATTTTTAATACTTTCCCATACACTTGGTCAATGCGGCTAAGGAATGTAGTGCTTTATAGTTTGCACACTGTAGCGTATCATCTTTCTTGTAGATGTTATATATATATATATATATATATATATATATATATATATATATATATATATATATCTTTTTCTGAAGTATTTTCCCATTAAACATCTGTTGGACAGTCGGGTAAGAAGATCCAATAATATATTTGGGCCATGCTTCAGCAATTCAATGTTTACCCAATACCGAACCGACTGCTTTTCCATTTTTGAATAAGTGTATTGTTTTTTCAGTCTATCTCGCTATAATATTTTCCATATTACCAGTTCTTCGAGATTCATGTCATTCAGGTTACTAAATGCGAGCCTATTTTCTGTCAAAAGTTCTTCGAAATATATTTTAAATTGATCTATACGTAAGGTTGTAGTGTTGAATTTTGCTTTTCATTTTGTCTAAGGTTCTTTATTATTTTCCATGCGTTCCTGATTTTGCATTACCTATATTCTGTTATACATCTTCACTTATTTTTTTCGCTTTTCTGAATTCCTGTTTAACTTCTCTACTAATTTGACGATGCCGTTTTCTGTCTTCAGTATCTTGGGTGCTTAGTCAGTAAGCAATTAGCAAGTATTATAAGCAATTTTCTGGTCTCTCACTTCCTTTGCCAAAGAATAATTCCACCAACCGTCCCCTATTCCTTTACCAGTATATTATATTTCTCCGAGGCTCTCATAAGCTGCTTGATGTACGGCATCTACAATTCCATTGTAGAGTGTTTGAGTAGTTGTTTGGTTCACGTCTAACAATTTCTTACTTACCCTGAAGTTATTACTCGTATGAAGGTATTATGAAGCGGTGGATATACGATGGATCTTCAAGCACACACATTTTGTATTCTTTTCTTTTCTGTGGTACTGGATGCGACATCAATTTTCCGATTGCCGTGTCTTGTTTACATACGGAACATTATAATTTCAACGAATAATGGCCTGAGTTGTTGTCGGCTCATCTATAGACTCGAACATCTTCCACCTATATTTTTTGTTGCGTTTGCCGGTTCGTAATGTATTCTATTATGGTTTTACTAGTACCTCTAGACCAGGCCTGCACAAAGCTTACTCCCGCGGGCATTTTGCACTTACGAGTAGGGTTGCCACCTCTCCGGTTTTAGACCGGAGACTCCGGTTTTTGAGCTTCATCTCCGTCTCCGGTTTTTGAATTTATCTCCGTTTTTTTTAAATTCAATAATTTTCAAATTTTTTACAAAATAAATAGATTTTTTCAACTTAAAACTTAAAGCTTTTTCTATTTCATCAGAATGCTGTCCTTCCTTCTTTCATTAGAAAGATAAACGAGCAGAACTGAAAATTGTCTTGTGATTCTGCGTGGCTTATCGCCAATCCGCTGTCTCTTTCTTTCTACGCATATGCAGACAGAGCAGCATCTAGCGATTTATGCGAGAAATCGCAATCGCGCCAACATTCTTCAAGAATAATCCCGCCGGGAATCGCTATTCGATATCTTCATTTTGAAAAGTATCGATATTATATGCAACATTTCGTATCAAAGGCTGAATATTTAGATGTAGCAAATAACATTTGAAATAAATGTTAAAAACAAATAATTATACAGGTAAGTTTTACATACAAATTTGTTTTACATATCTCTATAACGCTAAAAATAATTATCATAATTCTTTTTGTTTAGAATAAACTGAAGTTAATACTATATTTATTCGAGGCGAAACAACATTTTAAGAAATTCCGAAAGTTTGTGTAATTCGTATACTAAAACGAAATTAATAGAAAGGTATGTTAAAACACTACATAATAGGTAATTTTAGTATAAATGTTTAGCCAATATTCTTTCTCATTTATTTTTTTAATTTACATTTGAAATTACATAAATAGATGAAGTGAGCTTAAATTTTATAAATTAACACTCTCATCACATACACACTTTTATTTAGCAATTAAATATTTTAAATTACCCCTCCCCCTCCCGGTCGCAGCGGGTCTCCGGTTTTCTGGAATTGGCAAGGTGGCAACCGTATTAGAGCCAGCCGTCTGACCGCGAGAGCTTGCGAATGTGCAAGTGCGGGGGAGTGTGCAGCTGGGGGGGGGGGGTCGGAGTGGGGGGTCGCGGCGCGCAGATTGAATGGCTTGGTGTCTGTAATGCAATGATCCATTCTGTGAAATGATTTGCCCACTTATTCAAATGAGCAATCTACCGTATTTCCGATATAGTATTTCACTATTTATATGCTTTTGTGCACTGCTGCATATCGATATTTTTAAAATTCGCTTTACTTTATGCTCATCGCAACTCATAAATATTATTTTAAAGCTGTGGCCTCTTTTAAAAGTGTATTATGTAATTTTAACTAACAAAAATTTACAATTTAATAATTTATTTTTTACCACGAATGTTATAATCACCAAATGATAGCAAAACGAAAGAAATTCAGAGCACTCTCTCACATCGAGATTGTTGCAACAATGTAAAAAGTATATTCCAAAAAGGATAATGTTTGGCAGCAAATATATTTTGGACCATTTTCTTTCACTATGAATCTGAATAAGAGATACCAACGAGCAAACCTCGTTTACTATATTTTAGGAGCAATCATTACATTATTATGAATCTTATCAATAGAACGCTAGAGGCTTAATCTTTTTATACGATGTCGTAAACGATTATGATTAAATAGTGATCTGTATTGGGGTATTACATGAGAGGAATAAAATTGATAATATTTGTTGGTATATATATATATATATATATATATATATATATATATTTCCTCCTGTTCGGCACTGCTGCCTTTCAGGGATGTTAACATTTTACAAAATAATACTTTGACATTCGTTCTCACGCTAATTGTCCTGAATATTACAGGCTGTGTTCAGTGTATAATTTTGAAAATACTGATTTGATGTGAATTAATTTTTATATTTCATTGATTAAAATATGTATGTGTTTTTATTTTATATAGCTGTTGGAATTTAATGACGTTGAGTATTTATGGAGGTTTGAGTTTATCCTTGGGAAATCGTGAGCATATTCTATTTCGTTTTGGGTAGTTTTTGCCAAGTTTGAAGTTGGGCGTTGCTGGAGATCCTGAAAGAGTGTCAAAGGACTTCGAGGATTTTAGGATGTGTTCTTGTATTGACTGAATTCGTAATTATCTGCGAAGTTGTTTGTTACTAATTAACCAGGGAAATTTAGTTATTTTTCTTAAACATTTATTTTGAATGATTTGTAGTTTTTCGATATGTGTTTTTGCTGCATTACACCAAATTGGGCTAGCATACGAGATTTTTGGTCGTAATATCGATTTATAAATTGTAGTTCCACATTCAATACTTAAAGCTAAGTTAGAGTTTAAAGAAGGTTAAAGTTTAGCAATTTTTGCGTACGTTTTGTTTGCAACTGTTTTGATGTGGTCTTTCCTAGTTAATTTTGCATCAAACATTAGTTCTAAATATTTAACTGTTGGTTGTTTGGGAAGCCATTTTATTATTGAATTTTGAATTTTAAGGGGGGAGGGGTCAGTGGTCTTCGAAGCGTGAAGATTTTTGCTTGAGATTTGTGCGAGTTTATTTTGATTCTCCAATTGTTCAGACCAGGTGATATATGTTGTTAAGTCGTTCTGAAGGTTGTCGTAAAGCACAGAGTATATCCTCGTGGGCTGTGAATAAAGTTATCGTCAGCGAAGACGGCGATTTCTGAGTCAGCTGGTTTTGGGACATCCGATAAGTATAAGCTGAAAAGTAAAGGTGATAGGCATGATCCTTGAGGGACATCGGCTGTAGGTTGACATTGATTAGAATAAGTAGAATTGATTCTTACTAGGAAATGGCGATCTGCTAGAATGCTGTCGATAATTTTATAGAGGTAGTTTGGTAAACCCAGACGTTGTAGTTTAAATAGTAATCCGGGGTGTTACATTTTGTCAAATTCCTTTTCAATGTCTATAAATATTGCTAAGGTGTGTTTGTGTTGATGGAAAGCATTAGCCATGAATTCTGGAAGTTTCAGGAGTTGGCGCGTTGTTGAGTATTTATTTCTAAATCCAAATTGAGTGTTAGGTATAGCCTTTATTTCTGTAACATATTTATTTATGCGTTTATATATAGGCTTCTCGAATAATTTGCCAAGTGTTGGAAGTAAACTTATCGGTCTATAATTGGAAGGATTTTGGGGGTCTTTCCCTGGTTTGTTGAACAGGAGGATAATAGCAGTTTTCCAATTTTTAGGAAAATGGCCTAATCTTAATGATGAATTGAAAATGGTGGTTAAAGCTGCGATTGCCTTTGTCGTCAGTGCTTTGAGGGCTTCATTGCTAATATTGTCATATCCTGTTGCCTTTCTAGATTTTAAGTGATTAATTGATTTTCTAAATTTAGAAGGTGAGATAAATTTGATTTTTCTTGGGACAGTTGCAATTTGTTTCGCTGATTCAAGCAAAATGTAATTGTTGAACTGGTTGTTGTTAATTGGATTAGGAGTGAAGGTTTTCTGAAAATGTTTGGCTAGTAAATTAGCCTTGTTTTTGTCTGAGTACCCGATTTCTGTATCGCTTTTTAAAATTGGGATTTCTGCTTTTTCTTTACTGATTCATCTGATCATAGTCCACATTGGTCTGCTATTGGAGTGAGTTTGTTTTATTATATTCTGATATTCAGAATAACGAAATTGTTCTAGTCTGTATTTAATTATTCTGGAAATTTTATTCAATTTTACTTGAAGGTCTGGTCTCCTGGTTGTTTGCCAGTATCGTCTAAGGTTATGTTTAGTTTTGATTAGGTTTACTATTTTCAGAGGAACTGGTTTTCTAGTTTTAATACTTGCGGAACATTGTGTTGTTGACTGTTCAATTGTTTTCTGTATCGATTGAGTTATATGCAACACTTGCATATCTAATTCATCGTTCGTATGAATTTTACTCGGATATATTATATTGTTGTCTATTAGCTCCTAAAACTTATTCCAAATTAATTCGTCCTACGGTTTCGTTACGTTGCAATATTTGAGCTAACGGTGAATTGGAGCAGTTTATTTTGATAATTACTGGGGAGTGATCCGAGTCTAAATCCGGCAATACTGTTTGATTCAAGGACAAATTGAAATTTTTAGTCAATACTATATCTAGTATATCCGGAATCACATTACTGTTATATGTAATCACATTATTGTTTTTTATTCTTCGTGCAATACTCTTAATTTACACACGAATACGAGGAATTACAACACACGGTCTATTTGGTCTTATTTTCATTAATTATCTTTGTTCTTGAAGATGATAAGTCAAGTTAGAGGGAAAGGACAGAAATGATTCAAGGTGCAGGGAACTACTTTTAAGATGTATGGGAGGAAGGAGGGCGATTTGCGCTCTTTAACACGTCTTTATTTGTTTGCAGATTTCGTACGTTGGAGTTCACGTGCGTCTGACTGATTACCCAAGGTACCTTCAAGAAAGATTTGGTTTGAAAAGGGAGGACCTCGCACACACGGATTATTATGTGCGAGCAATGGAATACATGTTGAAACGCTTGAGAGAGGACGGCATTTCGAAAGTAGTGTTTGCAGTAGTAAGTGACGGTATGAACTGGACAAAAAAAATCTTGATACCACAGCTTGAAAATTACTTAAAATCGAAAGAATTGTTGGGTACGAATGCTATTGTAAGTTGGTGTGGATCAAAATATTTTATAAACGATTTAGTGTTACTTTCGTCTTGCAACCATTCCATAATTGCGTATGGAACATTTGGGTCTTGGTCAGCTTTAATGGCTGGTGGCTGGACGGTAGTTTTCGATATTAATCCCAATTGGGTGCGCAAAGAAATAACAACAGCAATGTCGTTTGCCAAACAATTACCGCACTGGACCATTTTACATTAATTTTTATTGTTTTATATTGAAATGAAGAAGACCCACATTACACTACATTACTTTTTATGTGGCTAGGCGAGAGATGCATTGACTTGGATCTTCCTCCCAATCCCATAATTTCTTATGGAACGCATGCTGCACGGTCAGCTTTGATGGCTGGCGGTTGGATTAGATTTAAGCCGGACAGAAAGAGAGAAGGGAATATGATGACTATAAAATTTAAATAGATTCAGCTTAATTGGATATGCACACCACTGCGCACCAATGTTCATTATTTTCAATTGAATTATAGCCAAACATGAGTAATTTGTATTTCTTTCTCCAGAATTGTAGACGTGGAAAATTGAAAGGAGTTTGTTTTTAAAAGAACGCTAGTTAACGTGTCGCGAATCAAGAAGGCGTCGTGTTTCCTCGCCTTTGCGCAGAAAATGTCGATGTGCGTCATTGTTCGCCTCTCGGCCGCTTACACGCAGGATGTGCGGCGCCTTCGGACCCAGCGCCCCTGCAAGCGCCGTTGCCGAGCGCCTTTTAAGCTCCGGCAAGATTTTTTATTTTACATACAGAACGCTGAATATAATGAGGGTGACAGCGCAATAGTGGCCTATCCCACATTTTTAGGAAATTGCGTTCTCTGTGTTAATCACATCTTAATCTCCCTAACTTAAACGTGTAACAGTTTCAGTATGTTCGCGTCGATAGTTTTCGAGTTATAATTACAAAAAGAACTATTGCACTCAGCTTACGATTACATTTCTTTGCGCTATAGTGGTCTAAGCATAGGCGATACTGTTTTACACAAGATGTAATCCACCACAAATATTTAGTCAGTGGTCATTCTTACATAATATCATAATATGAAAACTCTTACAAATGAGTGTTTAATTTTGCCAATAACTCCATCAGCCATTTTCTCCAAACACAGGATCTGGGGATAGGCCACTATTGCGCTGACACCCTCATATCGTGTTTCTGTTATGAACAAAACAAGTTAATTACATTAAACCGTTTATTATTCACAATTGCTGAACGTACAGAGAAAGCCGTTAACATGCGTGGTCACAATATAAGAAGGAGATTTACCGATGGCTTGCAGATTTAACAAAAGCCGAAGAGATATCTAAACACAATGCCGTTGTCACAATTTAAGTACATACAAATTTTTGGAGCCGTCTTCAGAGGACGACAATTCAGAGGTACTGTAAATGCGAAATTTGAAGTTCTTTTTCACAGAAAATTTTTGTTTTCGAAAACTTTAATATAAGTAATTTGAAGTACATCATCTCTCAAACGCAGTAGTGTTTGCAAGTTACAAAAAATGGACATATTATCGGCGTGAGAGATATTAAAAACAATGTATTTTAGTAATTTTTGAAAAACGAAACATAAGAATACCCCCAAAAACTTTATGTCGTGCAAACATCACTATCTCCAAGAAAAGTTTCAAGAAAAAAAATTGAGCCATGTTTGATAACACGTCGTTTAAGCGTTTATGAAAATGCAAAATTTTGAGTTCAGTTTCACATACTGTTGAGTTTTCAAGAAACTTTATATAACATTAATTAAAGCATATGTTATATCAATAGAATAGTGTGAACAGATCACAGCTAGAATAAATATTACGAGTAACGACGTAAGGGAAAAAGTCAAAAAATTATAACACCTTTGTAGTATAGAATATTTAGCGCTCACATACGGTTTACAAACATTGGCACTCACACAAAAAGAAACAAATGCTAGTCGTGGTGGTCGGATGAATTAAAAATGCTGTTTGGCAGCCAATGGTCTACCTTGGCAAAGGATCGTCAGAAGTGGAAGACCATGATTAAATCCAACACAATGAACGTACTACACTTGATTGTTCAATTTATCACCAACTTAATAAGCGCCAATGCAAAAAGTAGTGAGATGAAGCGACAGCTAATTCGATTTTAGTAATGAAATGAGAGTGAACAGAGTGAAAATAATGTTTAATTATTGACAGTGACATAGTAATGTGTTAATTATAGTGTATGTAAATAGCGTTGTCATTTCCTTATTTTTGTCTGTAAATAGCGTATGTGGAAGGAAGTACCCGAATCGGGTGGGAATTCTACCATTATGTAACCCACCCGACAATCGGAGACCCTTGCCCTCTACGGGATTTTAACAGGCTATAATAATAATAATAATAATAATATAATAATAATAATAATAATAATAATAATAATAATTGAAAAAACAAAATAATAGAGCAAAATGGTGTTTATGCCACCTCATTGAGTACATTTGGTATTATCCGTATCAAAATTAAAAAAAAAAATTGGTTTTGACAGTTTCTAAAAATGCTGAATTCTGAGCTTATTTCAACAGAAAACTGATTAGTTTTCGAAAATATTTATATGACATTATTTAAATCACATTTTTATAATTAAATTTTAGTAATTTTTGAGAAAACAAAAGAATGGAACAAAATGGCGTTTATGAAATCTTATAGTTCACATTTAACACTATCCCTACCAAAAGTTTAAAGAAAAAATTTGGATACACGCAATATTGCGCGAAAACTACTCAAAGTCAAAAAAATGTACATTACCTTAATGAAAAAACTAAATATGGAGATCAAATTTTATTTGAAAGAAAAATATTATTCATCAATTTAGGAGTTGTAGGAAGACGGCGGAAAAATGCAAACTTTTAACATTTTCGAAAATGCAGACGACAGACGGGCGGGGGTTTGGAAAAAAAACACATCTTTGGAATCAGTGGACCCTAAAAGTATATTTTCGTTGAAATTTTGAAATCCTATGAGCCTCAGGAATACAAAACTCTCTCTATACTACGTACTTTTCTTCCAATACGCGGTATACAAAAAAGTAACTAGTGGTGCTACAGGGAGGCACACACTTTCTCGTTCTAGTTTCTTTGCCCGATGCTAGGTTTGGGTATGCGACATCATTTTGCTAGCCGCCATCTATCGCCGCCCAAAGATAATTTTTCCACATATGCTCAATTTTTCCTGGAGGTTTCCTAATTGCAGAACAGATCTATTATTTAAGAATATTATAAAAGAGTAAAAACTTTTCCAATATGGAAAGTTTCGTTGAAAAATGTGGAGACGCTTTCACGAAAATAGCGTTCAAGTGTTACTGGAAATGCGAAATATGAAGATTTTTTTTTTTCCCCAAGAAGTCTATTGAGTTTTCGAAAAACTTTATTGGAAGTCATGTAAAACATATTCCACTCACAAATGCAATAATGTATACAAATGGCTTGTAATTAGCAAATAAAAGAGATGAGGAATAATTTACATTTACTTTTCTTAATTTTTGAAAAAATCGAAGTAGTGTTTTTTTTCTCTATTCATACAAGAAATAAAAAAGAAAAAATTGAAGCCATTTTTGAGAAAATGTTGAAATTTATCAACTTTTTATGTGCCAGGACCCCACAACACGAGATTTTGTGTCGAAAAATCACCACTTAGTGCCACTGCATTAATTTGCGTTTTACATAAATATCTCTATACTACGTATATTACTCCGAATGTACGTACGTATACGAGAAAGTAAAACCTATATGATTTTGTCCACCATATTTAATTTTTAAGTCACCGTTTGTAGAGGATTATTTTTAAAGACTAGGCGTGTCTTTTACAGTTTGAGAGACAGCAAAAAAATTCACCAATGATATTCTCAAAGCTTAATTTTTTTAGACGTTAGCCGGTGTTTTTAGAAACTGAAAAACGCAAGTATGACTTCCTGCAGGTTCCGATGTTGCTCTGCACAATTTTTTTATTGAATCGAAAAAACTATGCCTTTGGGGAGTGAGTACACAGCTAATTCTTGTTGTATATTGTTCGTTATAGTGTGAAGGAATTTTATGCCATACCGATGTGGCGTCCCAAACTGTACGCCATATTGGATTCAATGTGCCATTTTTTAATGCTCTCTTGTATTACGAGCACACAGCTAATGTTTTGCTCTAAAAACAATATTTTTCGTTGCCGATTGTGACCATGCAATACCTTTTCGGAGTCTCTAAGTAGCCGCCACACCAACTCAAAGATGTCCAATTTGTCACTAGGTAATGAATTATAGGTAAACACACGAAACATTTTTTATATTGATTTTTATTTCTACAAGACGCATCGATAATTGCCATACCGAAAAGTGTAGATTACGATGATGTAGTTACGGCGAAACAATTGAAAAACAAACATTGTATAGTATGAATAGTTATTTTAAATGAAATTGATAATTTGATATGTCTTCCTAGATATCTTTCCGTTATATTTTAAAGATAAAATGAATAGCATAAAAACATACTTTTTACCATCCGAAATCTCGATTGCATTGGTAAGTGGCGAATCTCATACATTCCTTAAATCTGAAAAATCAGTAATATCGGCACCTGAAACAACGTTAATTTTAAAAAAAGTTAGTATTAATATTAATAAATAGTATTTGCACAAGTTATACTAGAAATTTTAAATTAAATAAAAGGGTCTTATATATTGTTTAAAATGTAAGAAATACACACGTACTTTTAAAATTAAGCAAGAAAATTATAAAGAGGGTAAATTATGGAGGGTTGCTGATTGTAAAGATTGTGGTATGAAATAAAGTAGATTTGTAAAAAAATTAAAAATGTAAGAGAAGGTATTATACAAGTATTGCATAAATCTGTTAGAAAAAAACTTTCCTAGGCATAAAGTAAAAACATTAAGAATTGATGATTTATGGCAAGCTGATTTAGTTGAAATGGATTCATGTCAATTGACGGGTATATCTAGAACAAATGAACGTTTTAACTAT